CCTCTCACGGTGTCCCCGCTCATTCCCCCGCGGGGGCGGCGCGGCCCGGGGCTGCTCCAGCTCCCGGAGGTGGCTCCCGGCCCGGGGCTGCCCCTCTCGGGGCTCGGTTCCTTGTCTCCCTTCTCGGGGTCGCTCCTTGAGGTTCCCGGGCTGCCCCTCTCGGGGGTCGCTCGCTGCGGCTCCCGGCGGTGCCGCTGCTCGGGGCGGTCTCACGGAGCCGCTTCCCCGGGCACGTTGGCGGAGCACGTGGAGCTGGAGCTCCCGGTACCGGGGGCAGGGTGATCCCGCTGAGAGCCGGCAGGGCCCGAGCTCGGCTCGCAGGGAGCTGAGGAGGCCGAGAGCCGCAGGTGGGAGAGGAACCCGCGGCCCTTCAGGAGCCGTGCGATGTTCTGGTGTCCTCATGGAAAACGTCTTTGCTTTGAAATACTTTTCCTGGAAATGATTCCCAGTCCTGGGATCTCCCAACAGGTGGGAAGGTGCTGGTTTGGAGGGGTCCAGAGGATTTGCTGATAGGATACATGGAAAGGTGGCTTTGTTGGGGTTTTTTTTTTGGTGTTTCCAGCCCTGGAGCTTTAAATCCTCACAGGGATTTTGTTTTTGGTACCTGTAGGAATTTGGGCTGAGGGTCAGAGTTGCTTCTGTCCCGTGGCAGGAGGGGTTGTAGGTCAGTTGATGTTAATTAAAGTGTTAATTAAAGCATCCTCGAGTCTGTTTGAAATGTGCTGGTAAAAGTTTGTGTTTCTGATGGAAGGAACATCACCAGAATCCTTGTTGCTCATTCCTGAACACTTTGGCTCTTGAAGAATTTAAAATTCCTGGCTGCCAATTTGGTGTCCTGGCTCAAACCTGACGTGGGCTCAACCTCCCTCACCTCATCCAAGGTCTCCCTGTGGTGGTTCCTAATCCTGGGAGCTGATTTACCTCTGCCTAATCCCACTGACCTGTTGCTGTAGGGATCCTCTTAATGCTGGTGTGGATCAGCTCAGGGACACAGAAGCTTTTCCATCAGCTCTGTTCCTGGAATATTTTTGTGATTCTGCAATGTTGACAAAAAAGCGTGGGGAAGAACAAGGTGGATTTTTGTGCAACAAACCAGGTCCAGAGTGGGAATTCCACACAGCTGGAATCCCTGGGAAACTGTGGACTGAGGATTTGGGATTCTGCTGATTCCTGGAGTGGGGAGTGCTGAGTCTCACGGGAATTGTTTGTTCCTGGTGGTTGTCACTGGTTGTCTGCTCTGGCTGGAAGAGGGGTTGGAAGGAATTCCAGATCCCTGGAAGTGTCCAAGGCCAGGTTGGACAGACTTTGGAGCTGGGATGGTGGAAGGTGGGGTGGAACTGGATCAGCTTGAAAGTCCCTTCCAACCCAAACCATTCCACAATTCCCTGATTAGGGGGGTCTGCTGAACTGACCTGAATGAGCAGGAAACTGCTTTGCTAATGGATGAATTCCCGAGGGAGAAGCAGCCCCTGGGCTCGGTGCTGCCTGGGAGCAGTGGAGAATATCCACGTGCAATCCCTCCTTCCTTCCAGCTGTTCCACAGGACCCCTGGTGCTGGCTGTGACACCAGATCCCCCGTCAGAATCGAGTTCCTCTTTTAGCAGAGCTGCCATTTGTGTTGCTAAATTTAAGGTCGTGGCAGTGCTGCTATTCCAAACCCCTGCTTTTGGGGGGGAAGGTGCCTAAATCACCCCTTTGAGGTGCCTAAACCACTGCTCCCAGCCCCCCTCTCTCTGCACCTCTGCAGTTCACTTCACCTCGTTATCTCATTTAATATTAAATTAGAGACAGATCAGCTCTCATTGGAGTGAACTGATTGGTTTTTAATTGTTTTCAAGGAGGAGGTGGCTGCCCCAGGGGCACCACAGAGGGATCTGTGTCCAGACTTTGAGAGCAGCTTTGGGAGCTCTTCTCCCACCTCAGTGCAGCAGGTTTGGGTCTTTCAGTGAGTTATTCCCAAGTAATTTGGAGCAGGAGGTGCAGCCAGAGGCAGGGGAAACAGCTTGGCACCTTGAAGACTTTTCAAAGGGCTTTTTTTTTGGCTAAAGGGAAACAATAAACTGATCTTGCCAATATTCGGGGCTGCTGGTGCTTCCCTTGCATTCCTGTGCCAAGGTGCTTTTCTTGCCTTAAATTCTTCCCAAATATCCATTTGTGGCTGGATCCAAAGGCTCCAGCAGAGGTTGAAACCCATATTAAAATGTTTTAGTGCCTGTTGAGATGATCCTGAGCCTCTCACCGTGGCTGCAGGGGCAGAACTCACAGCAGATTCATTGCCCAAGGGAATAAACAGCAGGAGATGTTGGTGTCTCTGTGTTTGTGGCAGCCCTGGCAGGGAGGGGTATGTTGGGAGGAAACAAATGTATGGGACAGGTGGATTCAACTCCTACCTTGGTCTGAATCTTTTTTTTTTTTTAAGGATGGATTTTGGAAGTACCTGTTGGTGTTTGGTGAAGACTTAGAGAGATCAGAGACCTCCAGGTGCCTGGATTGTATCTGGAGAAGGACAGTGGAGCCTGGGAAGGGCTGGAGCAGCAGCAGGAGAGTCTGGAGAACTTCTGAGGGAGCTCTAGGGGGCTCAGCCTGGAGAAAAGGAGGCTCGGGGGGGACCTTCTGTCTCCGCACAACTCCCTGACAGGAGAGGGCAGCCAGGTCGGGCCTGGCTCTGCTCCCAGGGAACAGGGACAGGACAAGGGGGAAACGGCCTCAAGCTGCACCAGGGGAGGTTTGTGTTGGACATCAGGAGGAATTTTTCCATGGAAAGGGTGGTCAGGTATTGGAAGGGGCTGCCAGGGATGTTTGGTGTCCCCATCCCTGGAGGTGTTCAGTCCTGAATGTGGCACTCATGGAGCTCTGATGGGAATTGGTCCCATCTTGGACTTGATGGTCTCTCAGGGATTTTCCAACATCAGGGATTCCACAGTTCTGTGGAACATGTGGCAGACCTGATGGTCCTTGACAATGCTTGAGCACTCTTTCCATGAACAAATCCCTCCTGGTGTCCATCCTGGACCTCCCCTGGCATAGCATGAGGCTGTTTCCTCCTGTCCTGGTGTTCCCTGGGAGCAGAGCCTGGCCCCACTCTCTCATTAGGGAGGTGTGGGGTGAAAAGATCCCTCCTGAGCCTCCTTTTCTCCAGGCCCAGCCCTTTCCCAGCCCCCTCAGGACTTCTCCAGAGCCTTCTCCTGCTGCTCCAGCCCTTCCCCAGCTCTGGCCACGCTGCAGCCCCTCAATGTCCCTGTGGCCTCACGTTTCCCGCTCTTTTTCTCCCCTCACGTTTCCCGCTCTTTTTCTCCCCTCACGTTTCCCGCTCTTTTTCTCCCCTCACATTTCCCGCTCTTTTTCTCCCCTCACGTTTCCTGCTCTTTTCCCCTCACATTTCCCACCCTTTTCTCCCCTCACCTTTCCTGCTGTTTCCTCCCCTCATGTTTCCCGCCCTTTTTGTCCCTCATGTTTCCAGCAGCCCAGAGCTGCACCCAGTGCTGGGGGGGCCTTGGCAGTGCCAGCACAGGGGACAATCCCTGTCCCCATGGCTGGGACAGTCCAGGTGCCATTCTGGGCACACCTGGGCTCGTGTCCAGCCACTGGCACCAGCACCCCCAGGGCCTTTCCCAGCTTTCCAGCCCCTCTTCCCCCAACCTGGAGTGTTCCCTGGGGTTGTTGTGACCCAAATGCAGAACCCAACACTTAGCCTTGTCAAACTCAAGCACCTGAGTGAGTTTCCCTCTCCTCCATCCCTCCTCCATCTTTCCTTGCACCTTCCCTTGAATCCCACGAGCTGGGAGCCATCCCTGCCTGGATTGCAGTCCGGGTGAGGGGTGTGGGCACAGACTGGGGCCTCCCTCATGCCGGTCAGCACCAGGATTCTCCTGGGCTTGTGGATCCAGGGGTTCCTGGGAAGGGCAGTTCCAATCCGGGAGCACGAGCTGTCTGTGTGCCGCAGGCTGAGTCACCACTGCTTCCCGGAGAATTTCTCTTCCTGGAGAATTTCGGGGATGATTGAGTGTGGGCAGGCCCAGCCCACTCGACAGAGCAGCTCCGTTAAGGTTTTTTAATGAAGTTTTAAAATTTTTGCTCTTGCTTTGACATCTTTTTTCTTTGAGGAATTAATTTCTCCTGAGCTGAGTTTAGACACAAAATCCACTTTGTTTGGGAAGGTGTTATCCTGGAAGCTGACCTCTTTTGGGGAGGCTTCAGGCAGGAAATTCCATGAGGAAATGGGATCTTGTGCTGCCTGCTTCCCTGTGTTCAAAGAACCAGAAGCTTTGAGCCCAGTCCTGTTGGGATTTGACCCTGGATGGGGAAAAAGTGAGGAGCATGGAAAAGGAAGGTCCAGAATGTTGGGAATGCTGAGGTGTTTGTGTCCTGCCTCTGTGACTGGCTTGGTTTCTCCAGCCTCAGCCTGCTATTTAAATGTCTGTATCCCAAAATTTTGGGGTTTTCTTTTCCCAGCTCTCCCCCAGGTTGGCTTCAGACAGGGACAGGGGATTTATGGAATCAGTTGCTCTCCTTAGCACTGCCTGGATGGACATGAACTGCTCACACTGAGGGTGTTCAAGGCATGATCCCGACAGCACAGAGCTTCCCAAAACAAGGAAAAATCTGAAATTCCCACTGGGATGTGGCTGGAAGGGTTCAGCAGCAGATTTGCTGGGCTGGTGAGATCAACTCCCTTTTACCAGGGAATTTTGGAATCCCAGGATATTTTGGCTTGGGATGGACCTTAAAACTCATCTCATTCCAAACCCTTGTCATCCTTGTGGGTATTCCCAGCTTCTGAACAATCTGGGGATGGATTCTGTGTGGATTCTGGATTGCAGGAGTCTTGTCTTGCCACTAGTGGGAGCATTGGGAGCTTCTCCTCCATCTCCTCACTGACCAGCACCTTTTGGGGAGTTTTGGTGTCCTGTCAGAGTCTCCTCACAGTAGCTGCTGCCATATCTTCCCTATGTTTATTTTCGTGTTTGTTGGGAAAACTCAAAAATATTTATGGAAGGCCTCTTAAGTCCAGAGTTGTTAGGTTTTTAATTACCTACACATGACACAATTTTATTTTTCCTTATAAAAACTCACTCTGTATCTTCTTATTAGTGGCAGTTTTCCGTCTCACAAGTCCTTGGGAAGCCGGGATCGTTGCTCACGAGGAAGCAGGGAAAAATCCGTGTCTTTCTGGAGCTATTTTTGAAGCTGAGAGAGGAGGGGAGAATGCAGCCATCTGGCAAAGTATTGCTGCAAAACCTGGAAAGCCCATTTTTTCCTTTAGAGCATCCCGGTGGCAAACTGGGATAAAGGGGCTGTACCTTTGACTGAGGCTAATTAATAATTAATAGGGAATGAGAAGTGTTTTGTACAGGTGGAAGAAGCTGGTAATGATCTTCCTACATCCTTTCTGTGTTCTAATTCCCACCACAAACATACAGGTGACACCTACACTGTTCAGAGAGTTGGATATTTTAGGGTAGCATAAAGTTGGGTTGGTTTGGGGTTTTTTTAGGATGCAGGAAGGATGATGGAATCTTGAGACAACAGTTTTCTGCTTGTTGCCTGGCTGGGAGTGCTGTTTGTGTGATGATATTTGAATGGTTTTGATAGCTATACTGTGTATTTATATGTTTTTGTATATTACCTATATTTAGATATAATTTGGGGTAGAAGAGTTGGGACAGTTGTGGTGTTATTGGTGATGAATGGAAGTGCCTGGGTTGCTGGCAGCTGGATTTGGGGTAGTACCCACCTCCATCCTTCCTCCTGCTGGGGCTCATTTTTTGGGACTCTGCCTCCTTGCAGGGCTCTGATCCAGGAGAGGATCCAGCCCGGAATGCTGCTGCTGTGTTAACAATAATTGGGTGAAATTCCCAGTTAAAAGGGAATGTGAACACCTGTGCTGGGGTCAGGGTGTGGAGTGATCCCAGGCTGCTGGCACCCCTCGTGCTCCCGTTCCTGCCACCCCTCTCCTTCCCTCCATTCCTCTGGAGCGGCGCATGGTCTATTTTTAAATCTTGCTGGGCTCTGTATTGCGGCATTTCTCTTCCTGAATTATTTATCAGGGATTGGAGCTGAATGGAGCGTGCTACGTTTTCCCTGCTCGCTACTGCCCACGTGTCTGTCTTGAGCCATTGACAGATTTGGTTCATGTCAAACCACGCCAGGCCTGGCTCAGAGAGGGGCAGGAGGGGTCGAGGGGTCACAGGCCAGGCCTGGACCCTCTGCATCTGTGGGTGTTTGGTGCTGGGCCAGACAGGGTTGCCATGATAATGAATCCACAGCTGAGCCAGGTTTGAATGGAAAGGCCCTTTTTAAAATAGAAAATGGAATTAAAATTCTTTGGACTGCCTGCAGAACGGTTGCAGCCATTCACCTCGGTGCACGTGCTGAGGAAAACACGGAATCAGAGTGTGGGCATGGAGGACTTGGGAAGGTCCTTGAGTCTCTGTGTGGTTCTGTGGTGTCTGTCCGAGTGTTCCGTGTCCTCGCTGATCCCTGCACTCCTCTGCTGGCAGGTACCTGGCAGCACCTGACGTTGAGTCACACCAGGCAGCCTCTCCATCTCCAGCTCCTCCCTGCAGTCCGTGTGTTCCTCGTGTCCTTGGGAGCAGATGCTGTCTGGAGCGTGGCTCTACCTGTGCATCCCAGTAATTAATGCTGGGAATGGCAGCTGCTGGATCCTCAGCAAGGTCAGGTCCAGCCTAAAGAATATCTCAGATCCAGCTCCTTGAGGATTTTCCTCTCCCTTGTCCCTGTGGTGCTGTGGGGGCTGAGGCTGAGGCCTGAGGCTGTCCCAGATTTGGGGCTTTCCCCCTTTCCAAGGGGACAGGGAGTTCTCTGTGTGGATCCATGGATGCATGGAATTCCCTTGGCAAAGCTCTTCTCCCTTTCCAGCCACCTGTCTGTCTCTGGGAGATCCCAGTCCTGGCTGCTGGTGGGGACTTGCACCAGTGCCACCCCTCTGGTTTAGTGTCACAAGTCCTGACTTTTCCCTCTTCTGATGGAATTTATCCACTTCCTAATTGCCACGTCTGCTCTCCATGGGAGCTGGGCTGGCAGGCAGAGACTGGGCTCATCCACACGTGTCTGCCAGGGAAGGAGGGAATGTCTTCTTGCTCTTCCCTTTGTTTCCTCCTTGCTGTGGCTGTTGGGCACTGGCAGCCTCCCTGCCAGCCAGGAGCACCAGCAATACCTGGAACTGCTGCATCTTTCCCGTCCTCGCTTTCCCTGACCCAGTTTCACTGTGTGGCTGCAATTCCAGAGCTGAGGGCTCTCAGTTTTGAGAGGCAGGAACTGCTCCGTGGGGTTTTGTCCAGGCTGCTGGGGCTGATTCATTCTCCATCCTCTTCCTCATCGTCCTTCCACCCAGGATTTGCTGTCTCCCAGGTAGGAGAGAGATGCAGCTCAGGAAATCCTCTCGCACACACTGTGCTCCGTGAGGATGTAACACTGCCAGCTTGCAGTGATGGACAGGGATTTTGGGAAGAGCTGGATGAGCCTGCAGGAGGCTGCACCTGTGCTGTCTGGGGCAGGTGCTCATGTCCTGGGGCTGGAGGCTTTCACATTCCAAAATCTGCTGATCCACCTGCCCATATGCCAGAGATCAGGTCTGCAGACTCTCAAAGAGCTGCTTTTCTTCCTCCTTTAACTGCAGACACTGAGGCCTCGACAGAGGGTCTGAAGCTGATGGGATGTTCTTTGAAAACAGGGAGATCTGGAAGGAGGGGAGCAGCATTCCCAGTTTTCTCCTTGTACAGCCACTGCAGGGCTCCAGCACCCGTCCTTAGGGATCCTGAGGCTGCCTCTGACCACAGGATGCTCCTTAGCAAAATAAAGCTGTGGCCTCACTGGTTTTGTGGGAATTTGAAGGCTCTGTTTGGAGCAGTGATCCTTGCCCTGGGAATGCTTCCTCTGCCTCTTTCTGTCCCTTCTTCACTTGGAAAATGTCTCCTGGAGCTGCTTCAGAGCTCAGAACTGCAGGTTTCACACTCCAGGGGCCTATTCCTGGGTGCCAGGAGTAACCAACCCCCAAATGGATTAAAAAATGGATTCAGAAAGGGGTAAGAGCTGGGACTGAGCTGTTGGGCTGATGCCTGGATCCTGCTGGTGGGGCTGCCACAGGGAGTCACTCTGAGCACACGCTGCCGGCCACGGCTCCAGCCCAGCTCCTGCTGAGCAACCCCGGGGCTGCTGCAGCCGCAGGCGCTGCCTCTTGAGCTCCTGTGCAGCGGCAGAACCTGAGCTCAGCTGCAGCTCCTCATCCTCCTTAGACTGAGCTCAGCTGCAGCTCCTCATCCTCCTTAGGCTGAGCTCAGCTGCAGCTCCTCATCTGCCTTAGACTGAGCTCAGCTGCAGCTCCTCATCCTCCTTAGGCTGAGCTCAGCTGTGGCCCCTCATCCTCCTTAGACTGAGCTCAGCTGAGACTGCTCATCTTCCTTAGACTGAGCTCAGCTGCAGCTCCTCATCTGCCTTAGACTGAGCTCAGTTGCAGCTCCTCGTCCTCCTTAGACTGAGCTCAGCTGCAGTTCCTCATCCACCTTAGACTGAGATCAGCTGCAGCTCCTCATCCGCCTTAGACTGAGCTCAGCTGAGGCCACTCATCCTCCTTAGGCTGAGCTCAGCTGCAGCTCCTTATCTGCCTTAGACTGAGCTCAGCTGAGGCCCCTCACCTTCCTTAGACTGAGCTCAGCTGCAGCTCCTCATCTTCCTTAGACTGAGCTCAGCTGAGGCCCCTCACCCTCCTTAGACTCAGCTGAAGCCCCTTGTCCTCCTCACCCTGCTCAGACAGTGGTGCCCGTTTCTCAAAGAGCCTGTGAGGTCATGGTTTGGTTTTCTTGTCCAGGTACCTTCATTGTAAAAGTCCTTTGCAGAATTGAGAGGAAAAAAACTTGAAGTGGCAGACATAAAAAGAACTTGGATCCTTTGGATCTGACTTCCTTGCATTTTCTGATGGGAAAATCTTGTGCAACATCCCTGGAGCCTTTGCATTCCAGGGTGTGGATTGATCAAGGCCTTTGACAACACTGCAGTAGCATTGCAGGTGACTTTTGTCTTCTTATCCTTCAAAATTCCTTTTTCTCCCATTTTCCATCCATGGGATGTGGAGAGGAGACTTCAGTCGCCAGGTCTGGGGTGGAAAACCCCTCTCTGGGGAAAATTTAAACAAGTGAAAGGTTTCAAACTTCTCTGGGGCAGCTTGCATTTTTTGTTTTCTGTCTCTCCATATTTAATCATCAATAAATGAAAAAGAAAAATAAATAACTGAATTGAAATGAAGCCATTAACAAAGCAACCCCTCAGAAAAGCTCTGGTAGCAGAGACAGGAGCGGAGCAAGGCTGGCTGTGACCTACCTGGGCAGGTGTGAGGTGTTTTGCTGGGTGTTTTCCATGCATGTGAATCCTTCTGGAAGCTGCTGATGCCTTGGGTAGTATTTGCTATCCCTTTTTTTTATGCAGTCATGGGATATTCTGAGTTGGAAGGGATCCTGAAGGATCATTGATCTCATGGATCTGTACAGACACCCCTGCACTACCCTGTGCATCCCTGGCAGCGCTGTCCAAAAGCTCTTGGAGCTCTGGCAGCCTCGGGGCCAGGACCATTCCCTGGGGAGTCTGGGCAGTTCCAACACCCTCTGGGGGAAGAACCTTTCCCTGATCTCCAGCCTGACACAGCTCCAGCCATTCCCTGGGGTCTTGCCCTGATCACAGAGAGCAGAAATTGGAGCTGCAGCCCCTGAGGAATCTCCCCTCAGTCTCCCCCAGCTGAACAAGCTGAGTGCCCTCAGCTGCTCCTTGTGCCACTCCTCCAGACCTTTCCCCATTCCTGTGTCCCTCCTTTGAAGGCTCTCCATTATCTTCAGACCTTTTTCACATTGTGGTGCTCAAACTGCCCCCAGGACTGGAGGTGAGGCTGCCCCAGCCCAGAGCAGAGTGGGACAATCCCCTCCCTCACTGTCCAGTGATGCTGGACCTGCTGCCCCCAGCACCTGCTGCCCCTCCTGGCTGCAGGACACGCTGCTGGCTCAAATCCATCTCCCCATCCATGAGAACCCCCAGGTCCCTTCCCGTGTGGCTCCGGGGCTGGCAGGGGACGGATGCTGCGTCTTTAGCGGCGTCTCGGGCTGCGCGGAGGCAGCTCCATTGAAGATTTGCAGGAGAGAGCAGGAGGGGGGTGTGGATGTGGCTATTGGCAGAGCTGTGCTGACATCCCTGGGAACAGCTGGGATCTGCTCCGCTGCCGAGCCGCTTGTCAGAGCCCCGAGCTCGCCGGAGCAGCCGCAAAGATCGCGAGCGGTTTTTATTTTTTATTCGGGAGAGCTGGCGGGGGCTTCCCAGGAGCAAGATTATCCTGGCAGAATTCCTCTTGAACTGGTCACGGCCATGGAGTCTCCGCTGAAATCGGGAAACAGCTGACGTGCTCAGAGTGCAGAACCACCACAGTGAGTTTATTTTTAGAATGAGGTTTTAATTATTTGGGGCTCGAGAAAAGAAAGATTGATCAGACTTTTCCCCTCCCTGGTGCAAAATGCGGCGTAAATGTGGGTGAATATTTCAAGGATGGGGACCTGGCAGCGTCCCTCTCCTGTTGGTAAGCGCCAGGATTTTTGCTGCTGGATGGGGTTAATTTAAAATGGAGCTGAATTAAATGAATATGTGGCTCTGGGATCCCAGTCAGGACTTGGGAGCGTGAGATGAGCTCTCCTCTTCCTCCCTTTGTGCTGCCGGGGATGCACCTACGGAGAGAGAGGGAATCCCCGGTCGGCATCCTGTGCTCTGCCATGTCATTAAGGAGTTCCCCTGACAGCATCATGGAATCTCCTTGTGCTCCAAGCGTCTGCAGTTTGCTCCTGGGTACTTCCCGTTCTTTTGCAAAGGCAGAACCTTCCCAGCTCTTCTTTTGGGTTATATTTTAATGGATTTACTTGTTTGGAGCTGGCTAGTTGATGGGGAACGTTGGCTACTCGGTTGGCTCTGTGCCATGTGACGTTTTCGGGGTGGCTTATGCAATTTGGTGTTCAGTAGGACAGTGCTTGATACATTAACCCCATTTTTAAATTAATTTAAATTAAAAAAAAATTAAATTTAAATTTTATATTAATTTAAACCCCTCGCTAAATTTGGTTTAGTGGAGTCAGGAGGTTGGATTGACTTTTTCCCCTCCTCACACGTATCCATCGTCCGGTTTTACCTAACACCCAAGAAGCTGTGCTCTCTTCATTACAGATTTAGTGCTGGGAGCTGGGGTTTTTTGGGATTGAGGTGTGGTTATTATACTTTGGGATCTCAGCATCTCTCTGTCTGCTCCTCAGACTCCACACTCAATCCCAACTTCTGCTGGCAGCCAAGAAATAAAGTTGAGTTTTTTCTTCGAATCATTATTTCTCCATTTTTTTTTTCCTAAGTTAAAATCCATTTCTGGGTCCCACCTGGAGAACACCCAATGTGATGAGTGGCTCTGTGTCCTCTGCCAGCATGGAGCAGCAGCTGGACAGCAGGAGGAAGGATACAGAAAGCATTCCTGCCTTTTGCCTTTCTCCTGTGGAGGCTTTCTGGGAGCTGGGATGCTTTGGGGCCAATAAACAAAGTTTGGGGATGTGCTTTACCAGCCAGGTCAGCTGAGGGAATTCCTTCTTCCCTCATTCAGATTTTTTTTAATGCTGCTACTCCTGCCTGGCACAGGCTCAGCACAGGAACAGGTGCCAGCAGGAGAAGAGTTTTCCATGTTTTCCTGGTTGGTACCTCTGGTGCAGGTGCCTCGTTACGGATGGGCTCAGGTAGAAGGAATTCTACTTGGGGTTCTCTAAAAAAATCAGGAGCTGTCCCAGGGATTTCTGCTGAACCATGGAAGGGTTAACAGAAATCCCTGCTCAATGCTGTCCTATTGCATCCTGACACTGTGGAAAGTAGGTGGATAATTCCTTGTTCGCTTTTCAGGAAACCCCTGTGGTGGACAGCCCTCATTAATTGTTGCTGGGAAACTGCTTTGACGTCACCGGAGCAGTTCCCTGCTCTTTGGATGAATACAGGAATAGCTCGTGATGAGGAAGTGGGAAGTGGTGTGAAATGGAGCAGGGAGCTCTGACAGGGGATTCTCAGCCTGGATTTCTTTCCTCTCTCCCGTAGTTCTGCCCAGGAACCCTCAGGAACTGTCCACAAACCTTCAGTGCTGCATTGGGAGCAGCATTTCCCTCTCCAGGAAGCCCTTCGTTCTCCAGGGCTGAGCCACTGGTGATCATTCACTTTTTAACAGCTTTGGGGTTCTTTTGGTGTTGGTTTTGAGGTTTTTCCTCCCCCAGATTTTGGAAAGGAGGGGTGAGAAGGTCATTGCCTAAAGCAGCTCCCAGAAATCAAAGGAAAAGAGAGCAGCAGGATCTCTGGTTCCTTTCTTTCTAACATTAAATCAGTAATGTCCCTTTTCCTACCTGAGGGGAGAGCAGGGCTGAGAGTGGCCCTTGATGCTGGGAGCTCCAGGTTTGGACAACTTGGAATTAAAATGGCTTAATCCCACTTTCCTTAGGGAAATGTTCCTTAGGACTTTAATTCCTGGGGTGTTTGTGCAGTTGGTTCCTTTCTCCCAGTGTTAACCTGTCAGTGTCTGGGGATAAATTGTAGCAGGAATTCTCTGTTTCCTTTTCCACACATGGAAATTAGATTTAAGCAAAGTTTTCCCACCCAGGTCAGAGTATTTAAGAAATTTTTATACCCAGAAGTGCTGGAGAACAGCTGGGGCTGTGGCTCAGGTGTGCCCAGGTGAGACATGAGAGGGCTCAGAAGGGGAGGAAAGTGAAAGAAAGGATCTGAATATGGAATCATGGAATGGTTTGGGTGGGAAGAGTCCTTAAAGTTCATCTTGTTCCACCTCCTTGCTATGGAGGGACACCTCCCACTAAACCAGACTGCTCTGACCTGGCCTTGGGCACTTCCAGGGATCCAGGGGCAGCCACAGCTTCTCTGGGCACCCTGTGCCAGGGCCTGCCCACCCTCACAGGGAGGAATTTCTTCCTAAAATAAGAAATATCAATGTTTATAAAACTTTTATCCACCTTTATGCAATTTCTGGGTATCACATGCAAATTATTTTGGTAGGCCTGGTCACACTCCTGGAGTAGAGTGAGAACAAGTTGACAGCTCTCCTGAGTTTAGTCCTTGCCTTGATGGAGGGAGGTGACAAAATGTCAGAGTATTTTATTCCCCCCTGAAATGTTGTTGTGCTTTGAGGTGTTTTTCACAAGGAAACCTCCCGATTCTCCAGAATTCCCTTCGACTCACCTGCATTTCCTGTCTCCTTGTTCATATAAGGTTATTTCTCCCCTTTTCACCTGGAGTCGAACCCTTCCATCTGCATCATAATTTCAGAATTTGATGTCATGTGGGGGTGGAGATTAGGATTTAAAGCAATGACTAAGCACGGGCACTGTGCAGGCAGGGACGTCCGGCCTCCTGTGGGGAATCTTGCTGAGTTTTGTAGGAGCTGGAAGGGAGGGAGGAATTCAATCCCTCTCCAACTGATAATAAGGAATAGGGAGAGAATTCAGAAGAGGAGGCTTTGGAGTTTGAGTGTTGCTGGTTTTGGGGTTTCTCACTGAACCAGGTGCTTGTCCCAGTGGGAGCAGGAGGGAAGGGGAGCGAGCTCCAAAGGTTCTTTACCTGTCGGAGTTCTGGCCGAGCCTGCAGACTCTCCCTGGGGTGCTGGTGCAGTGATGTTTTGCCTGAGTGGAGCTCAGGATGGAGCTGTTTCAGGAGCTTTTATCATATTAACACACCCTTCCATCCCTCTTGTTGCACCCAGCAGCTGCCCCTGTCTGCCGGGATTGTCCCAGCTGCTCTTCCCTGGCCGAGGAGGAGCCACTGGGACGATCCCTGGGCATGGACAGGACCCGGCAGAGCCCGAGGGGCTTCGTGCCTGGAACGGCAGCCCCCTCCCCACCCCACCGCCTCCACTTTTCCCTGTGCGGAGCCTTTTCCGCAGCCTCTGCTGCGCTGGGGAGGGGGGACCTGAGTCACCCCCGGCCCGTTGCTCCTGGCGACAGGCCCCGGTTGCCATGGAGCTCGGCTCCCCGTTGGCTGCCGGGCCGCCAATGAGCGAATTGCTCGCCACAGCATCACCGGTACCCAGCGGGAGGGCGGTGATGGGTGCTGGGTGCTGCTGCCCCCAGACAGGGCAGAGGGGAACGCTGGGGGAATCGTGGCATGGTTTGGGCTGGGAGGGCTCATAAAGGTCCTTGTGTGGCAGCTCTGCCAGGGACACGGCCCGGTTGAATGGCCCATGGAGCCAGTCTGGGACAGCCAAAGCAGAGCTGGTTAATAACCAAGGGAAATGGAGGGAAGGGAGGCAGGAGCCTTGTCTTGGAAGCCAGGTGGGAATGCTGAAGCACTGGCACTGGTTCCTGTGGCCATGGCTTGGGCAGGTGCTGGGAAGGTGAAGCCCGCCTGGAATCCTGGATTATCCTGATTTGCAAGGCACCCCAAGGATCACTGAGTCCAACTCCAACCCTGCACACGACATCCCAACAATCCCACTCTGCTCCTGAGAGTGTTGCCCGAACATTCCTGGAGCTCTGGCAGCCTTGGGGCCGTGCCCATTCCCTGGGGAGCCTGGTCAGTGCTCCACCACCCTCTGGGGGAAAACATTTTTCTGATATCCAACCTAAACCTCCCCTGACACAGCTCTAGCCATTCCCTCGAATCCTGGGTCACCAGAGAACAGAGACTGGTGCTCAAGAGGAAGCTGCAGGTTGGGATGAACAATCCAATTGTCCACAGCTGCTCCTTCCAGATCCTTCTCTATCTCCATGTCCTTCTCTTGGATGCCCCCGATAGATCCTCTTATACTGTGGGACCCAAAACTGCCCCCACAGGACTGGAGGTGAGGCTGTCCCAGAGCAGGACAATGCCCTCCTTCACATCCTGTTTCCTTAGCCCTAAAACCTGAGAGGGGGAGGCTGAGGCACCTCACATCCCTCTGTCCCCACCTCAGGTCCCTCCATCCCCACCTCACATCCCTCCGTCCCCACCTCACGTCCCTCCATCCCCACCTCATGTCCCTCCATCCCCTCCTCACATCCCTCCATCCCCACCTCACATCCCTTCATCCCCACCTCACATCCCTCCATCCCCACCTCAGGTCCCTCCATCCCCTCCTCACATCCCTCCATTCCCACATCACATCCCTCCATCCCCTCCTCACATCCCTCCATCCCCACCTCACATCCCTCCATCCCCACCTCACATCCCTCCATCCCCACCTCACATCCCTCCATCCCCACCTCACATCCCTCCATCCCGCTGCAGCACCAGAGCCGTGTGTGGGCAGCTGCACCCAGCAGCCATATGTCTCCTTTGCACCCTCATTTAGCTCAGGAGCAGGTCTGTTCCCTGAGAAACAAGGCCAGGAAGAGAGTTTATTTAGCAGGAGCTTCCTGCCTTTTCCAGATCTGCTGCCGGCTCCATCTGAACTGGAAATGCAGAACTTTCTTGCTTTTATTCCCTGCCCAACCAGGAGCTGCTGCTGCATTCCCGGGGCTCAGCAGCTGCAAACTGCGGGTGGCAAGAAGGCAGCAGAGGTGGAATTCCGTGTTCCTTTCTGGAGTGAGGAGGAGGATTTAAATGTGTCCCGACTCCCTGGCCCTTGGCCAGCATTCCCAGTATGCCCAGTCACTGCTGTCACTGGCCCAGTTGCTTTGCCAATCCTCATCCCCAAACCAAAACAGCAACAACACCTCCCCCACCTCCTCCCTTCCACCTTCTCCCACCTTTGCTCTATCCTCTTTCCTGACACAGATTTGGTGTAATTCTTTCTCTCTCCCGAGGCCCAGCTCAGTCCCACCCACCCCTGAGTCCTCTGAACTTCCACACTCTCCACAAGCCCCGTCTGTCACCGTCACTCGTGTCTGCCACCCCCTCGCTGCGTCCCACGGCTGCCCGAGGGAGCGGGGCTGATTCATTCATCCCGCAAGGAATCCTCCTCTGGAAAGCAGCAGTGCACAGATCTTCCCCGGATTCTGCGTGCAGGGAAATGTCCTGGAGGCTGCCTGGCGGGGAAGGAAGCTGTAACAGGAGGGGGCAGCTGATAAATGTCAGTTCTGTGGCGCTCTGAGTTGTCTTTTCTGGGAAATCTGATCATATTCCCTGTGTGATGCTGAAGTTACATGGCAGCATGTCGGGAAAAGATCCTGTTATCCTTCTTAAATTTGGCTGAGGTGTTTGGCTTGGGGGGAAAAGCTTGTTGGAGGGTGGGTGGTGCAAAGGGAATGAGCTGTACAAAACCTGCTCCTTTATTTGAGTGTCATGTGTGCAGTTCCGGTGCTGCCTCCTCCCTCCCTTCCCCAAATCTGCTCCAGATCCTCTTGGAATGTTTAAGCTCCCAGCTTGGGCATGAGGTTGGAGCAGTTTCCTACAGCGTGGAGTGTTTTGGGGTGGGGGGAGGCAGAGTTTACCACCTTCACACCCTGCACAATCCTCCCACGAATGAGGCGCATCAGGCACAGTGTTCCCTTTTCCCTTCCTGACCTAATTCCTGTTGGAGCAGCGTGGGATTCCCTCGTGTGGGGCTCGTCACCCTGTGCAGCATCCCTGGGAACAGCACTGCTGGATCTCAGCCCACTGGGGTGAGGACAGCCCCCTGCAGCTGGAGGATGGATGCTTTTTCCCATGAATTTTCTGGGATATTTCCCACCCACTCGAGGTGCTGCTTAGCCTTGAGTTCAGTAGCTTTTCCCTTTCCTGGTTGTCCCATTTGTGGCTCTGGACTGGCAGCAGCCTCACTCGTGGCCAGCCTTGAGCAGGTGGTGATGGAATTCAGGAAGCTGAGGTGGCCAAGCTGCCTCCCTGTGTCAGTCCTGTGCCATTGTCCCACTGGATCTGGCATTTTCCAGCCACCCCAGGGCACCTGCCCTCCATGTCTTAACAAATTCGTTAAATCCCCCGTAAGAATCCATGGAATGGAGGCAGTTCCCTGCATTCTCCTGCTTTCTGTGTCTGGAACCAATTCCAGTAACTTCATAAATGTCAAATACACGTTTTGTGTTCAGCAGCTCCACAAATTAAAGGGGAATAGTCCAGGATTATCAGCTGTTTCTGTGCAGAATCAGGAGTCAATAAATCTCCACGAGTTTTGACTCTGTTTCAGCCACATTCTGCCAAAGGTATAGAAAATGAGATGTTGAACATGTGTTTTCTGGTACGAGGTGTTTTGTTTGGGCCTCGCTCTGATTTAGGCTCCCCTTTTTGAAGATTTGTTTCTCCCAAGGTGTTTCCTGGTGCCACATCCCTCCACAACCACGTGGAGCTGGTTTAGTCCTTGCACAGACTCTGAGACCTGCTCTGAGCAACGGCAATCATAAAATCATGGAATGGTTTGGGTTGGGAGGGACCTTAAAGCTCATCCAGTTCCATCCCTGCCATGGGCAGGGACACCTCCCACTAGCCCAGGGTTCTCCAAGCCCTGTCCAGCCTGGCCTGGGACACATCCAGGGAGCCACAGCCTCCTCACAGGGAGGAATTCCTTCCCAATATCCCACCTATCCTGCCCTCTCTGGCAGTGGGAAGCCATTCCTGGCACTCCAGTTCCTGATGAGCTGTAGGGGCAGGGCTGATGTTTTCATTCCAGGGAATCAGTTTGGAATTAATTTGATGAGCAGGCCCTGGTTGAGGCTCTCAGCACAACAAAGCACAGGCACTGCCCTGTCCAGGCTCCACTCTAATCCAGAGGTGCTTCCAGGGGCTCCATGGGCTGCCTGTTTCTTGCTAATCAAAGAGAAGCAATTAAATGCAACTTTATCAGGAATTTTTGTCTTAATGTGTAATTTGAGTCCCACTTGTCGTGAAGTATCTGATCAGAAGGAGATAGCAGAGTTACCTTATCTCACAGAGCATGTTTTTAGTACAAGGCTAATTTCTCACTGAAGATTTGACTGATTACAAAAAGAACTGGGCTGGGATTTGGGGAAATGCAGATTTTTGGTGGTGGTTTGCCCTGGGGCAGAGCACAGCTCTGGCTGTTGGAATTTATTTCACTGTGTGATGTTTGCCGGTTTAGAGCTGCCCTCAGTCTTTTCTCTCTCCATCACTCACGTGCCTCAGGACCTCTGTTCTATCTCAGGGATTTTTTCCAGCCCTGGTGGCTCCAAAATCCTGGTGAGAGCCACAGAGCTCCTGCCAGGTGGGCTCAGACTGGGGCTGCACCCAGGGCTTGAATGGGTGGGCTCGATCCGAGTGCTTGGTTTGGGATCTGTGCACGAGGTGGGTTCCAAGGAAGTTCCAACCTGTTTGTGCAAGAGTTTGTGTCCAGAGAGAAGCTCTGTGCACCCCCTGAGCTCTGGTGTCCCTTGTCCTGCAGGTGCCCGTCGCTGCGTCGGAGGGCTCTGAAGATGTCCAACAGCAACACGGCACAGGAGTCCCTGGAAATTATGAAGGAATCAGAAAAAAAGGTGGTTGAGGAATCTGTGAACAAAACCAAATATGTATCCAGGTCACCAAGCAAGGAGGAAGTGGAGAAGGATGGGGGGGAGGAGGTCAGTGTGCGCCAGGAATCTCAGGTGAGTGTGGGCAGGGAGAGCTGGTCCCTCACCTGCTGGTTCCCATCCCTTCCCAAAGGATCCAGAGCTTGTGCCCCCTTTTCCACACGGACACCACACTGTGCAGGCTGTTCCCTTCCTCTTCAGCCAAATCTGTCCTGGCCAGAGTGATTGAAATATTCCCTGAGCCTGGGAGTGGAATAACTGAAATATTCCCTGGGGGCACTCGTGCTCCATCCCCAGGTTCTGGTGCCAGGGCTGTCACCTCCCTCTTACTCCTTTCTTTGATCTAAGGATGAGTTAATGACTTCATGTCAAGTGAAGGCATCCAGGGAGAGCTTGGTTTCAGGAGTGCTGCTTGACTATTGCTTCGCTTCAGTTAAAAATAGGACGGGAATGTTTTGGGATTTCATTTCAATAAATGAAGAAAACCTCTGTGCAAGCATCGTTTGCAGGTGCTGGGACTC